CAAATTGACTTGGTTAAAAAAATGTTTAATTATTGTAACTTGTCATCTATAACGCTAATATTAACTTTTTCAAAAGAAGAACTTTATTCGTCCTTTATCAGTACTCTCCTAATTTTCTATAATCTATCTTTGCAAGTAATCTGACATTTAGTTTATAATCCAAAAAAATGTATTACCAGAAACTACGGTACTTTTGCAAACATAGCAACAAAGGATATCACCCTTCGTTGTATCAAGGACCGATCGATCGCAACAGCTAGAGGGCTCGCGTATATATTCAAGGCTGTCTTCTTCACCGATACCGAAATCGATTTCAAATCTAATGATATACGATAAGAGCTCTCTCGTTCCCTTTCCCTGGCTTTTCCCCGTTATTAATCGTGCGAGGCGCATAAACGCGCACCTATCAGACGACCTAAATGCAAAGTTACCGCGACGTCACGCACCCCACATCTCGCAAGGCGCTCTTCCGTGTTTCCGTCCTCCTTTTACCTCCGACAATAATGAGATACTCCTTCATCTCGTCTTTTCCCCCCCCACAGAGAATCCAAGAGCGAAATAGGCCGGTATAATCGACGCTGAGCGATGCAACGTTCTCGTACCCGTAACATGAGAAAATATTGTCTGAGATGGGTATGAACTATGAACATCTAATTCCTGTGAGATAATACCTTAATTTTTTGATTAATTTATTAAAAAATTTTTAATTTTATGTTTACAGTTTGTTCCATTAATTTTTTAAGATTACTACATAATCATAAACATTTCATTCAATATTATATTTATAAAATTATTATTATTATTATTTATATTACATTCTTTATTTTAATAATATTATATAGTAGTACATAGTCATTTTTAGTTCTTAGTATCCTAAATACTTTAGATTTATCAAAATATAATTTTTAAAAACCAAAATAGTATAATAGTATCATACTAGTGACCTTTCGCTATTCCTATTGCAATTTTAATAATCGTATAAGTAGATAATTGTGTATACCTATATAAGAAATACGAACTCACATTCTTCATTTCTTTCGATATCTCTATTTTTTTGCAAGTTAATTTACTATTTACTTATTCATAGGATAACAATTTGCAATTATACCCAATTTTGCAATTTGACCCATATCAATTTCTATTTTTTACTACAATCATATTTTGCTATTCATAGTAAAATGTAACTATTTAAAAAGATAACTTTAAATTTGTATTTTCATATTCCATGTGATTCTTTACGTTTTGTTATTATTAAATATACATTACTTGTTTACATGTAGGCAGCACTCGTGGCAATAGAATAGTATATATTTTGTATGGCATAATACATTTCGAAACTAACAAAGAGTATCACCATTTAATTAGTCAAACTCGAGCTGAAAAGGTTTAGTTGACAGATGATCGATTGGAGCAAACAGTGCGTGGCTAGGCGGAAAATTGCCAGCCATGATTGTTTATTCATTTTGTAAATGCAACTGAGCACTGGATTTCACTCGCTGATGCATATTAATCGTAGCTTACGCAAACGCTCGAAATTTTGAACGAGCGAACAGAATGAAATGGGGGGAGGGGAGGGGGGAGGGGGTAAAAGACGGAAATAAATCCGATAGCATGAATTTAATGAGAAATAAATACGTTCTTTTGTAAAATTTATCTCTTTACTTCCTAAATCAATAAATCATATTGAGCTACGAGAAATTCGTTTAACTTACAAATGTTGAAGAGGCCATCGTAACAATTAATTTATGACAAGTTAAATTTCGATATTTAAAATAGCAAGTAAAATAATAGCGCAAAATCGACGGTTTGCTACCGTCTACTACTATTTCGTGAATGCAAATAAACAGCAAAATGTGAAAAAACAGCAGAGAGATTTTCCAGCTTAATTGGCTTACCACTGAATCTACCCATGTGTACCCTTAACGAATTTGGGCCCTTTGTCCTTTTACCTTGTGCACCAGATAACGTAGCCAGATTTACTCTCGCTCCAGTCGGCATTACGACTTGATTTAGATATAACAAAGTAGAGAAAATTTTTTCTCAACTATTTGTAAATTGTGTGTTCAGAATGATTAAAAACAAAAAATCTCTTGGAATCGTGATAAATGTTAAGTCATATAGGTAATCTGTAGACGTTAAGAAGTGATTTAAAGAAGATTTTACGTAATAAACTATCAGTTTTAACCCTTAAACGATTTTTCAGTATGGCATATCAGTATGGCTTTCGTTTTTCAATGCTTCTTCCATTACTTATAATCTTTTTATTAATAAAAATACATATTTATTTGGTATCGTTACATTCCTTAATAATTGATGTTCCGATTGAAAAAATTTTCTTACATTCATTTTTTGAAAGTTGTAAGCAAAATCGAATCGGGTGGGTATGCCATATCACAATGTGTTGTTTGCAATGTCGTTGATAAATAATAATAATTATTCTATTTAAGGGTTAATTATTATCATTTGTCAATATTTGTAAGCATACAGTTTTTATTTATTAAAGAATAATTACAAAAATTGCATTCATTTTAATTAATTAAATATGCAACCTCTTAATTAATTTCTAAGCAATACACAATTAGGAAATTTTTCACAACAAAACAAGTGCAAAAAGTTAAATTTTCAGAAAATAAAAAAGACTAATTCTTATCTTTAAACCGTTTAATAAATAAATGTATTAATTTTTTCCCAACATATAATAAGTATAAGAACAATGTTTTTGATTCTAATTAATATTTTAAGAATCTATTTAAAATATTTAAAAGAATTGAAATCCTATGAATATGTTTGATTCCTGCGACAATTTTATATTTATTCCGTAATATTTTACACTTATTTTTTTTATATTTGTCTTTTTTAACATTTAACTTTTTTTTTTAGAAACGAAACTTGTCTTATTCTTGTCGTAAAAGCGATATACTAGTTTGATTCTTATCGGAATAAAATAATTCTCGATGTTACGTTATGATAGAGATTTTGCTCCAAAACTTGGAATTTAAAAAAATGGATTCACATACGGTTCTTGTGAAAAACCTTTAAATTATAAAACATAAATTTACAAAAATACAACTTTATTAAATAATGAAAAATCAATGTAGTTCTACTAACGACAAATATACTTTCTTCTTGATATTGTAATTCACACTGTAGTAAACAGAATTGATTTTAATCACAGAAGCTACAGCCAAGCCACACACATCATTTGATTGAATTATCATGACACACTGATAAATGGTGTACAGTACGTCAACAAATGCAATCGCGCATGATTAATTAATCGTATTCCTTTCATCTTATTTCAGTATCCGTGATTAAACGTCAAACAGCTAATGGCAAGTATCCGAGAAGGACCAGCTACCCGCGTTTTATTATTCGAAGTATTACGGGAGCCGGACGCAACCGGGCGCAGCGACAGGCCAATTAACGGAGAGAACGATTTAAATCCTGTGACTCGTTACAATGAAAACGCTTTTTGAGGGGGCTGTTATTATTACAACGGCACAAGGTACCTTTGATGCCGCGATCCCGAATAGATAGAAGGAAAACAAAGCCGACCGCGGAAAAGAGAAATGGAAATTTTAATTGCGCGAAAGGGAGAACCCGTATCTTACTCTCTACACCCTCACGCGCATCCTCCCACTTCTCCCCATTTTCCGGATTATTTTCAGATCTTGACGGTAACATCCTTTTTATTTCCGTCTGTTTCATTACGCTGCTCTCTCGTGTCAGTCTCTCTCGGCTCGAACGAGTGAAGATTAAACGCGCAACATTTAATGCCAGTATCGCGTTTTCCATTTGTGCAATATTGTGTTCAGCTATTTCAGATTAAATAGTAAATAATGAGAGAAACAAATATTAATAAGATCGCGTTACACGTACACATACAAATGTATACATTTTTTTCAATATTGAAAAATTCCTTATCAATATCATATCGTTTATATTTTCCTCTATTTACTCTCTTTAGTAAAGAAATAGATAATAAATTGTTATAGGTAATCATTCTAAGCCATTATTCACGAAGTACGCGAATATAATTGATAATAAAGATAAAAGACGTGGAACTAATAAAAACAAATTTTTTTTTATATTTGTCAGATTCTTTTATCTTTCAATTTCTCATTTATCTAATTTTATTTAAAATTTTTACGAATATAAGTAAAATTTATTATTTTTTCTCTAGTTTTCAATTTCAACATACAAAATCTGCGACTATGTTTTTATACTTTCAATAATTTTTATTTTTGTCACTTTTATATATCGCTTGAATAATAGTCATAATAAATTGTTGTTTTCAGGAAAGACGTTCGTTAACAACTCGCTCCAATCACAAGTACAACTGCATTTCCAGTCTCGCACGTGAGGGAAGTGCATTCGCATGCGGCATATTGTTTCGGCCTTATAATGCCAAGCCGTCGCGAAGCATTTCGAGTCGATACAACAGTACCCAATGCTCCGAGAAACGCTTATCGATTAAGGAACATTTCAATGGGCAGCGTTCGCTGATGATAAGACGTCAGACGCACAATCGCGTGCTCCCTTATATAGCGTACGAAGGCGCACGTGTATCACTATTGTATCGATTATCACTCAAAATAGGACTATCTACAACAATGATGATGCATGTCCCTATTGATACTTCATAATTCCATGAACGACGTAATATAATAACTGTAAAAGGTGATAAAAGTATGAAAAATAGAAATTTAGATTTAAGTATTAAAATGTAATTTATATATTTTCAAAAATATTTGTTGATTAGAAAATTTTATTATTATTATTATTACTGTTACTCTATATTATATTGTCACTTTATAATTGCATGAATAACATAGTTAAATATAATAATGAAATGTATATATAAAATTTATGAAGTAACTTAGGTATAGGTACTCATCAATATACGTATCGCATATATTGTTTTACTTCATTTATTTTGTCTAATTTCAGACTATATAAATAAATAAGACCATACCCTCTAAACATGAAACTCACAGGGAACATTTTGATTGTACTTAGCAAATTTGTAACGTTTCAAATGTGTAGATTTATAAATATACATTTATATGTTTATTCCTAGGATTGAGTTGCTGATTGATATATTTTTTCGATTGCCATCTCACGTTCGTTATACAACTTATCAAGAAACATGAGTACTCTAGAATTATGCGTAATTGGTCTCAAATTGTTTATATTTGTCTGCAAGCTAGGATAACATCTCTGATAATAAAAAATTGCTCTAAGTAAATTCCATGGACTGAATTCAGGCCACAATACTTCGGTAAAGTACATACAGGTATGGGAAATCTAAAAGAAATTTAGGTAAAATTTTGAAATGAATAATTCTGCTTTGATTACAAGGAGATAGATTCAAATCACAAAAATTAAATATGTTTTCTTACTTGCCACATGAGAAAATCGCTAAGTCGAGTTTCTCCCGAAGTACGAATTAATAAATCTGGATTTGGAGACTTGTAAGTGTATAAACAATTACTAATCAGATCTTCATTAATATGTTCTGGTAAAATATCAGCATCTTTTACACCTTGTATTACATCCTTAATTGCATGAGTAATTTCCCTTGCTATAGCGATATTAAAAAATATAAAGTTATGCACATGTGTATATGTGTGTGTATATATATTTTTAAATTATATAAAATATTAAACATTTATTTATATATACGTCACGAAACTAATTGTCTAGAGAGTACACCGATATATCAATGATTTTTTTAAATCGGTTTAGGCTGCTTTCTGGGAGCATACTATTAGCACTATTGCGCATCATTCCATCTTAATTATTTATGAGATATAAAACAAGAGGATGACATAAAACAGAATGATGCAATAGAGCTGATAGCACACCCTTTAAATGCAGGCTTAGTATAATATATAAAATCAAGTGTGAACATAAATATGATTCATTGTAATTGTACTTACATGCATAAGCAACAGCAAAATTTAAAATTATTCTATTATTTTCCCTAGTAACAATCATAGCTTTAGCCATTAATTTACATATATCTTCTGGCATCAGGGAAAAATTGCCAATCACACGAATGCATACTCCATTGTCCTTCAATTTTTCCCTGGAAATTGTTTATATAAATTTGTAATAACAAAATCTATATTGTGCTGCAATGTGATACCTGATTTAAAAAATTTTAATGTTACACATACTTCTCATCTAAGAGAAAGTTGAACTTCTCTCTGGCAAGGTCCATGAGATCATCAACTTCTTCTTTGCTACGTTTAAAGTTCCCTATACTAAATGCATAAACTGTAACTTCTACAATACCGAGATCCCTGCACAAGTATAGTATCTCCAACATTTTGTCGAACCTGTCGTAAATAAAATATAAGATATAAGACAAATAAACAACGGACCAGTATATCTGCAAATTCTTTAAAAAATACATACCCTGTTGAGTGTCCCTCTGCTATCGTCAAGTTCTGTTTATTCGCATAACGTCTGTTACCATCCATGTTAAATGCCACGTGTTTAGGCATTTCGCCAGTCTTAATGACCCTTAAACCCAAGAATTGAAACCAGTTCATAATGCGTTCTTTTAGTGACATCATATTTTAAATTTCACGTTCGGGCGTACAAAAATGTGCAGTCTGCAATCAACTGATCTCTTCAATGTTTCAAAAGTTTCTGTCACATTCACTATCCATACTATTCAATACTTTCGACGAGCACAATATATATAGTACTCATTGACACGTTAAAGAAGATATCAGCTGTTAGTTATCGTTTAACCTTCAAATCGTAATTTAAAAAATTAGTTGCACGTGTACGTTATAGTACCGTTTTCAGGTTGTTTCATACATTTTCGCACTTAATTATTCGCTTTATCTACACGTTAATTGGAACGTATTATCTATCGTTTTAAAGAATCGGAAAAAGACCGAATTTTTACACTTTTTCCTCGAACTTTTTTATTTTTTTTCCAAGGATACAAGAGGAAAATTCCAATTTTCATTGGAAAAATTTACACGTGTTCGTAAAACCTGCCACATTTGTTTCTCAGTTCTTTCCGTGAAAAAAAAATTTAATATAATATAGTGGATCGCAGATTGTATTATATACACTCTGCGATCCACTGACTCTCCAATGTTTCAAAAGTTTCTGTCACATTCACTATCCATTTAATATTTATCAGTGAACATAATATATACCTATACTCATGAACGATAAAGACGATATCAGCTGCGTGTATAGTCTAACCTTTAAATTTTAATTAATGATGAGTAAAGTTTCACGCATAATGAGTGTGGACAGGGCTGAATAATATTTAAAATAGTTCCATTTTAAATCCATATTTAAATGGCATTTTGCATTTTCTATTTTAAATGGTTTTTGTAAAACCATTTTCATTTTACATTTGAAATGGAATCATGTCTACCATTTAACCATTTAAAATAGATAAATCTAAATGGTTTTTCTATGTTTTCACAAATTTTCCCTGGAATCATTGATGTATAAGAAGAACCAAGTCCCATGATTGGCCAAAAATTTTTATGAATATTCAAACAAACTGCAAATTAAATTATACAAAAAAATTAATTCCAGATAGAGTCCATAAATATCGAATCTTAATAAAAAAAAATTAATGTCCAGCTTTATATAAAATACTATATATAGATTTCTAAAAATGTATATTACTCTTAACATCTAATTTTGACCGTAACCGACGCTTCTCGTATTAATTTGATTTATTCCAGTAAACAGTCCCATTTCCAAATCATAATATTAAAAAATTTTAAATATTCCTGTCAGAAATACTTTATTTATAATACTGTAGTCAGGGCTCCGAATTCCGTTGAAAATGGATTTCAAACGTAAAATACTTTTTAAAAATGTATACCACCCTGGGGTACGTTCCAAAGTTAACTTTGATCAATCTTGATGGTTATGAGATTGAAGGGGAAAGTTAACTAAAGTAATAGTCATTTTAGAACAAGTTTAGTACGCTCATTGATATGCATCGGTATGCATCATGGCAACAGTAATAAATAAACATGTAATTATAATCAAAATTTATGCTGTAAGTACATTATATTTATCAAATATTATCATAAACATCGAAAGTGACAGCAACAGTGAAGAATTGATGCAGGAACTTATCTTTTACAAGGACCTTTTACAAGGACAACATTTGACATACAATTTGCCATATTTCATATCTTCACGAGCTTTTTCGTTAGCCAAAGTTCGTGTTGATTCGTGTTAGCTCATGTTTTGAATTTTTCCCGTGTTTTCATGAAGATTACCTTTCCTACCTCTCAATTTTGCAAAGTAGAAAAGTTACCTTCGTGGTTGACTAACTGCGCGTTTTGGAACGGCTACCATTGGTTAATCACTCGGTCACAGTAATAGTGTCGGAATGGACTATGGTAACCAAAGTAAGATTTTGGAACGCACCCCTGGAGGAAAATTTTTACGAAAAAATACATAAATTGAAACAAAATCTTAGAAATTCTTAATTTTTCGTAGGTAATCGTAGTGGGACGTAGAATAACGTCGTTTGTTTGAAAAACCAAGAAATCCTGCGCCCTCAAACAACGTCACTCTACGTCTCGCTACAAACATCTACGAAAAACCATAGATTTCTGAGACAAACAAACCTCACTGCATGTCCTATTACGAATATCTACGAGAAAAATTAAGAAATTCTAAGATCACATTTAACATAATTATTATTTGCAAATTAACTTGAAAGCTGCAATTTCTTACAGATTTAATATATCATTCAGCATTCGAGTTAATTTGCAAATATTATAATAATAATGTTAAATTTGCAAATTAATATTACAGATGTATAAAATATATTTGTAACGAAAGTCTTTGTAAAAATAGAAATAGTTGATTTGCTATTTTTATTAAGTTTTATGGCAATTAATTTCTTGCTCGTGTAACGATGTTATTTTCTCGTTTATTGGATCTCGCATCTTCACAGAATCTTGTTTCTTTTGTGGCGAATTTTTCGAAGCATTTGCTCATCCTTTGTCCACACATAGTGCCGTGAAACGAGGAGGACGAAAGAAATAATAATTCAAGGAGGAATGACTGTGACGGGGAAAACGGAAGGCGAGGAAAATGGAGTGTATATGAAAGGGAATGGGTGAACAGCAGGAGGGCTGTTCATAGCGACGATGAAAAGAAAGGGAGGAAAGCGAGAGAGCGCTGGCGTATTCGCCATAATAATTATCGCGGGCTTTCTTCCTCGCATGTTGCGAAAGCAACAGGTGGCTGCGCTCGCGCGTGCCACTCGCAATCTCACAGACAAATCGTTCGGGATAACGACGAATCGCAATCGAAGTCCGGTGATTAGCGAGCTCCGATGGGGACTCGATTACCGTCGCCGGTTGAAGGACAACCTTGATTGCACGTCGCAGTCGAAGCAGAGTTTTTGCTCGCTTCTAATGTCGCGTGTCGCTTCGCATTTTCCATGATGTAACTAATGCTTCTTTGTAAATATAGGTATATAAGTAAGAAAAAGAAGAAATTACATTTTGTTTCTATTTTGATAATTTTGATTATAATTTTAACCCTTACCGTACTAATATGGGTAACTAGTGACCGAGCTATACCTGTTCGTGCAAGTTTCTTTGAGTCTTTCGGTAATTATAAATTATATTACATTTTATTATTTTCCAAAATAAAGAGTCAATATTTATTCTAGAAAGTTGAAAGTATGTTGGTGAATTTTTAGAGATTTTTTTCATTATTTTGAAGAGGTGAAAAAACGAAGAAATTTGAAGTGATCCTTGATGGTATGGATGAGGCACCAAATTGTAGATGGTATGGCAAGAGTTAATTATATAACATGTAATTATTTGTGTGTGTGTGTGTGTGTGTGCACATTGTTATATTTTATAAAGAAAAAATGATAGAAAATACATAATTTTAAAAACTTAAAATATACAACCGAAACGGTAGAAGATTAAAGTTAGCATAAAGAACGCGTCATTATGGTTTTGCATGACTGCTGCTGCTTTTTAACCTTCTGTTTGTAATAAGCAACTAAGAACTATTTATATCAATGTGCTTACAGCACATGCAATCATCCTAATGGAATAGTACGTAAAGTTTAAAGGAACAAGGGCGCCTTGGCCAGCTTCCCGACTTTCCTGTTCACGCCCTTTGCACGGAAGGATGCACCTTCAGGGGACTATTTGCATAGACTGATTGCAGTTTCAATTAGGAGAGAGCGACGTAACTTTTTCGCGAGTTACAAAGGCGCCGCGGCGAACGGACTGGAAAGAAAAAAGGCCGAGGAAAGAAAAGAGGCGGGAAAAAGGGAGCAAGGTGGAAGAAGCGGAGTTTGCCGTATCCTATTGTCGACGACACAATGGAGCCGGCAATCCTTCGACTGTTTTTGTACTGAAGCAAAATGAGCCAATCCATAATCGGAAATTACAGTCAGACAATGCAGTGAAAAATTTTCATATTTTTGCATAATAAAGCTGGAAACAGCTTGTTACTAAAAATTGATGTATATGCATTGTAGAAAAAATATTTTGTTTTATAAATCAAAATTTTGTTGTAACAACAAAAATTTAATTGAAATACACCGAACCAAAGTTTTTGGTTAAAATATACCGAGCAAAACTGTAATTTTACGTTAAATTTAGTTTAGTTAGTACTTACAAATATTTTTTATATTTACAAAAAAAATTTTGCAAAAAGCTATTAAAGAACCCTGCATAAACCTTATGAAAATTGAATTAAATTCGATCAAATTGTCTGAAAATTTGATATGTTGTAGATCTTGTTGTTCTGATAAAAAAATCTCCACAAGCGCGACCTCCTGTAATGAACAATTTGACCTCTACAAAGCATTATTTTTCGAAACGGACTAATACTACAATTTTTTATTTTCAATGACTACGAAGCATTCCTACATCATTATTTGCACTTTCTATGTATATTTTTAAATAAAAAGTTATAAGGATAATATGGACCTGATTGTTTCAAACAAATCGGGGTGCTTTTCATTATTGTAAGTTTTGTATTACAAGATTCAATAAAAAAATTAATTTTTATTATTTAAAAAATATAATTTTCTTTTACAAGAAAGAAATAATTAACTAATAAAAACTAATATATAGTATATGAGTATTTTATGAAAACTTAGTTATGAAAACAACTGTTGTAAAAAGTAGCTCTAAAAAGAACTATTGATAAGAGTAGTTGTGAAATACTAAACTGATTTAAAGAATAGCTCTGAAAAAAATTAATAGGTCGCAGAAGTTTAAGCACAAAAATTCGCCGTGTACAAGCTAGATGTTTAAAAATCATGCTAAAAATCAAGTTATCAATTTCAATATCCTTATAGCTTTTTTTGTGAGTAACAATTAAATCAATATTATCCGTAATTGTTACTCACAAAAAACTATAAAGATATCGAAGTCGATAACTTGATTTTTGAGATTTAAGTCAACGCTATGTTACTTCACGTCTAGGGCACAGAATTTTGAGCACAATTATAGGGCGTGTGCAAAGAACGTACTGTTTATGGCTGCGTTCAATGGACTCAATAGTTGAGCTCGCTGTTATTGGTGTGTTCTTTTAGATCATCCAATCAGCATTTTAGATCTAGAAGGGTACATCAATAGCAGCGAGCGTTTACTCAACTGTCAAGTCCGTTGAAGCCAT